GTAGTTATCTCTCTTGGGACCTCCCTTCTGTCTCCACTTAACAGCAGTGCACTCACACACAACTTTGGAGTCTCAGTAGATGAGCTTACATGTTCATAACCATGCAGGTTTTGGGGGAAAAAACATAATTTTAAGCTTGAGTGAAAGAAGTGTCCGTGAGCAAATGGGGAAATGATGTTTACTATCAACAGAATGCTTTGAGCGGAGAATTTGAGCAGTTTCAAGCATAGGAAAGACATTTACATTCACACTTTAAGAATGAGGCATCTTTTCATAAATTTAACTTTACATCACAGAGCTATATCTAAAAGACCAGTAGAAGAGAAAGTAAATTAATTATTATAAAATAAGTTAGCACTGTGGGACAAAGGAATGGGGTAATAGAAAACAAATAGCAAAATGGCAAACAAAATTAACTTCATGATTAATTATATTAATTGTAAAAAGAATAAACCCTTGAATTAAAAGACAGAAAATTACAGAGTGGCTAAAAAATTAAATTCTAACTATATGTGAGAACTACTTTGAATACAAAGTAAATGAGAAAAATCTGAGAAAAATAAACACATGGGAAAAGTACGCAATGGAAACTCAAATCATATAAAAATCAGTATCACTATCAGATAAAATACACTTTGAGATAAGGAAGCATATGCCAAATCTATGAAAGAACTGAGAACAAATCTTTCAAAAGACATAGAAAATGAAAATGTGCATGCACTGAAAGAATGAATGTCAGGTCTGGTGTGATGGCACATGTCTGTAATCCCAACATTTAGCAGGAAGACCACAAGTTGGAGTCCCACCTGGGCAATTCTAACAAGACTCTCTCAAAAATGAAACAACAACAAAAAAAGATAGAAAGAAGAAAGAAAGGAAGAAATGAAGGAAGAAAGACAGAAAAAGAAAGAAATGAAGGAAGGAAGAAAGAAAGAAACAAAGATTTCAATTTGTCAGAGATTAAAACTAGACCTGTATCTTTCACCATGAACTAAACTAAAATACAAGTGGATTGAAGACATAAATATTAAAACAGAAACACTAAACTTGCTGGAAGATAAGTTAAGTAGAACTCTTGAAGTTATTGGCATAGAAAAAGACTTTATGAACAAATTCTCAGTAGCATGGGAACTGAACTAGCACAAAGAATCAACAACTGGGATCGTATCTTTTAAAAAAGCTTTTGCACTGCAAAAGAAACCACCAAAAGAGCTAAGAGACAACCCACAATGTGGGAAAAAAGTTTTACCAGCGGTTTCTCAGACAAAGGTCTACTCTCTAGAATATATAAAGAACTCAAAAACATCAGACTGACTCCCCCCAAAAACATAGAGACCAAATTAAAATAAGGGCACCTGAAATGAACAGACATTTCTCAGACAAAGAAGTAAAAGCAGCAAATAAACATATGAAGAAATGTTCGACACCACTGGTGCAGATGTAAACAACACTGAGATTCCACCTCACCTCACAGCAGGAAGAATGGCTGCTATCAAGGAATCAACCAATAACAAATGCTGGCAGGGTTGGAGAGAGATGGGAACCTTTGTTCATTGTTGGTGGGAGTGCAGACTGTGCAACCACTGTGGAAATCAGTATGGAGATACCTCAAACAACTAGGATTAGCAGTCCTTTTGACCCAGCTATTCCTCTGCTGAGTATCTTTCCAAAGAATTAAAAGAATCAGACTACAGTGACATATGCTCACTCATGTTTACAGTGCCCAGTTTGTAATAGCTAAAATTTGAATACAGCCCAATTGGCCATCAACTGGAGACTGGATAAAAAAATTTTTTATTTTTTTTTTTTTTTTTTTTTTTTTTTTTTTTTTTTTTTTTTTTTTTTTTTTTTTTAGTAAAATGGAATGCTATTCAGCCATAAGGAACAAGAAACTAGAGATATTTATAGCTAAGTGGATGCATGTTGAGGACATACTCTTAAATAAAATTAATATGTCGCATTTGTAAATACTGAATAGTTTCTCTGACATGAAAAACTAAAAGTGGAAATCAGGATCAAAATGCATAGTTGATATTGTGTAATAGAAAAGTTCCAAAGGAGTGAGGAAGTGGAAGGGGTAGCGGAAAGGCAAAAAGGGAAAAGAAAAAATATATGAAAAGGAAAAACATGGAAACAATTTCTTTGTAAACAGGGAAGGGTGGAGGGTTGAAGGGAGGACTGGAGAATGGGGAAAAATAAGAACCAATGTAAGTCATGTAAAGGTACAAGATCCCAATGATGAACGTAACTGTACTGTATACCTAAAATGTACCAATGAACAATAAAGAGAAGAGAGAGAAAGAAAAAGAAAGAAAGAAAGAAAGAAAGGAAGGAAGGAAGGAAGGAAGGAAGGAAGGAAGGAAGGAAGGAAGGAAGGAAGGAAAGAAAGAAAGAGAAAGAAAAAGAAAGAAAGAAAGAAAAGGGCTGGGGATGTAGCTCAGTGCAAAGGCATCAGTTTCAATTCCTAGTACTGTAAGAAAGATAAATAGATAATAGATGATAGATAAATATATAGATAATTTTAAAATATCAGAATTTGAAGACTAATAAGAAATAGACAAAAGTCAATAATTTTTATTGAACACTTAAAAATTCTTCACTCAATAATTTGCAGGTAGTATAACCAAAAGTATCAAATATATACAAAATATATTGGAAAATATATTAATTTTTCTTAAATTTTATCCACTCAGTAATATATCGAGCCTATCTTGAACTTTACAATGTGTTAAGAACCACGTTTCATTGCTGAATGATAGTGTCTTTTTGCAAAGCTCAAAGTTTCAGTCACATGAGTAGTTAGAAACAAATTGCAATGAAACACACTATTACATATTTTAATAAACTAGACATTTTAATAGGTGACATTACAGAGATGTGAGTAAAGTTTATTGCAGATCAGGTCATTCTCAAAGAAAACGGGGATTTTATTGAGGAGTGGATGCTTTTCGAGAGAAGAGTTGAGAGATGATTGCACATTATTTGAGAGGAGATAACCTTGTGCTTTTATTTACTAACATACCTACCAAAATTTTCAGTTTTATACGGATGTCAAACTCTCACCTGGAAAAGGATACTTTTGTATATTACACCTATATTTACTTTAAATAACTGAAGTGCAAGGCAACAGCTTAAAAGAACTTAACAGTCTAATAACTACATAATTTGTTACACTAAAATAACATAAGGATAGTGATAACTGAATGTCTCAAAAATATAGGCCTAGGAAAACAACCACTGTAGACATTTTTAAAGCAAGAGCAGCTGAAGGAAGAGCACAGTTCCTTCCACTCAAAATAGCATCCACAAAAGTACGGGTCTGCAAAATGATCTGTAATATCTTGAAAATGCCATATAAAATCACCCAAACTGAAGCTGTAATATGAGAGTGAAGATGACACGAAGTTTTGATTTTAGAAGATAGGTCTCTAAAATACTAACAGAAAAGTTGCAGTTTTATCAGAGTCTTTTAGGATGATAATTCTGGGCACGGTAGAAGAGATTCCTCAATCGACTTAGGCTTCAGGTAGAGAGTGAAAGAAGGTTACCACTGCTAATTTGAGAGTGGACCAACATGTTGGTTTGTTTTCATAGCTGTGAGACTCCTTTAAGCTGAAGCTAAGTGACACTAAATGTGGCATAGATCTTTACAGAGGAATGAAGAACACGAAAGTAAGACGAAGACATGGATTTACACATATCATTGTAGTCTAGTAATTTAAACCCTTTCAAAATATTACAAGTTCAAATCTGTTAATCTGAGTCTTTAAATAAAATAGTCTCTTTAAAAAAATAATTTCAACATATTGATGAATTTAGTACATGTAAAGTGTAAATATAAATTTTGTATATTTTATAAAATAATGTAAAGGCTGAGAGAAGAGGAAACAAGTATTCTACTGTAGGGCTTCTATATTATGCAGGAGGTGATAAAACCAATGTAAAAATATAACAATAACAAAATAATCTTTGCAGTTAGCCAAAAAAGAAGATAAAGCAGAAATATATAAAGTAATTAAAGTAAGACAATGCATAAACTTAATGAAAATGCACTAAAATGATTCAGTTTTGTATACATTGGACTATATTATGCATAGTATTACATTAGTTTTAGTTCTTTTAATTTTTTAATGTGGCTACTGGAATAGTTAAGATTGTGTTACACACTATACTTCGTTTTTTCTCATTGAGTTTATTGGTACATTTTAGGTGTACAGTACAGTTACATTCATCATTGGGATCTTGTACCTCTACATGACAGGTCTTGGTTCTCATTTTTTCCCCTTGCCCCTGCCCTCCCTTCACTCCCTCCTCTCTTCCCTATTTACAAACACTTTATTTCCATTTTTTCATTTTCTCATATTTTTTCTTTTCCCTTATTTCTTTTCCCCTACTCTTCTCACTTCCCCTACACCTTTAGCCCTTTTCTTCCTATTTGACACTAGACTTCTATCAGATACTATTCCTTTAGGTTAGGGCATGTATGAAGAGTGAGACCACTGACCTAAGTAAAATACAGTCACAGATCAATTTATCAAAACTAAGACTACCTAAGCCAAATTCACTTGAGACATGCAGACTAGTAACAGAACAAATTTTAGAACTCAAATGTTTTTTAATTCATCAATTATTAAATGGTAGAGGAGAAATTAATGAGAATTCTTATTTTCTTCTACAAAATATGAGAATATGTGATTCTCTCCACCCTTTAGAGTACCTCATCTGAATATTAACAATATTATATGAAAAAATAATATATTGTATAGCTATTTATTAGAGGCTAAAATATACATAGGAACACTTCCCTGGTCTGATAAGTAGATATAAAATTTAAAACTCTATCGTCCTGAGTCTGAACCATTATGCTTCTTCCCAGATTAAGCCCAAATCCTTTCAGATATTAGCAAATTTGTACACTTACTATTATTTCTGACTATCACCACCATTTAAATCAGCAACATCAAGCCACACAGGTGACACAATCTATCTGAGATTCTTACCTTGCAATTGACCTTAGCGATCTTCCTGAGTAAACCCTTGTTTTCTCAATCCTTTCATCTTTCTAATGACATCCCTGAACTTGATTTTCATGTGTCCCTGAAATCTTTGCAAAGAATGTTTTTTGTTGATGACACAAAGATCCAGCTTGTCAGATGAGTGGTGTCTGCTCCCATACCTGTAGTAGGAAAGAGCACAAATTATTCGAAGATGAGCAGCACTGGAGCAAGCAAGGTGTTTATGTGAACAGACTTGAAGTGAGTGTTATGAATTCAAGACCCAGTAGAATACCAAAAATAACTGATTGTGCTGTTTTGCTATATGAATATTTATAGAGTTGATTGACAAACTTTAAAATTAATATTCCTTAAGTTTGTCACTTGGCAATTTCCTTCAGTGGAAGATGTGACATCCACCTTGATCTATTTGTAGGCTGTAGAGTTTTGATTAGTCATCCATATGATTTGCTCTAAAAATAACAAAAAACAAGAACAACAACAACAAAAAACCTTTGGATACCAATCCACATTTTCATATGTGAACATTTAAGGACACTTATTTTCAAACCACCTTATGATTAGATTGCTATGGCCACTGCAGTAGAATATAGAGTAGTAAAAATCAACAGCTATTTGAAGTTAATTACGCTGGAAATTTAGCATTCATGTTAAAAGTCCACATCCATCGAAAAGTGATCTCATATTATCTTCTAACATTGACAGCGTTTCTACTCAGTGATGTAAAGAAAAACAATGAAGATGTGAATACACTAGACCTTTATCAGATGCAGAAAAGAGGTACAAAGAAGAATAGAGTATTTAGAAAAATAAATTTTTGGCATGAACATCAAAATTGATGATGACTTTCACTGAATAAAGAGCAAATTTAAAGTTTTATATTCCTTGTACTAAATTATAAAAATATTAGAAGAAAATATGTGAACATTTCTTGCAGGTAAAAAGTTATTAACTTGAAATATAAAGATATGCTATAAAACAGATTGACAGATTTGAACTTAAAAAATTTCAAAGCTACCTTAATGTATATATGCTCATAAAATCAAGAAAATAAAATGAAAAATTAGGGAATAGTATCAAAATGTCTGACAGATATTTTCAATAAATTTAAGGACTTTAAGAGATCAAAAAGAAAAATAAGCATCTATAGGCACTTTCCTAACACCTAAAACAACAAATAGCCTGCCAAAAAATTGATCAATCTCTCAAAAATGTAATGTAATACAATGGAAATGTTTTCAATACAAAATCGAAACATTACAGAAAGATAATATGCAATATTATTAAAATAACTAAAAATAGTCACTCGTATTTGCTCTATATCAAGCTTTAAATATGCATTTATCCTCTGATCCAGCTGTATCATTTCAATATTTACCACAGGACTGTTTTGTCCATGATAAAGAAGAAAAATGGAAACAAACTAAATTAAATGCCTAATAGAAGAGATAGGGTAAATATCTGAATATCCATGTAATAGAATTTCCTCCTACTATTGAATATTAATTTGCATGTAAAATGTTCATAATATATGAATTATCTAGAAAACATGTATGATAAATGAATATACAACCGATTTTTTTTATCTTAATAATTGTTTCGTTAAAACCAATAGCTCTTAAAATTGAAGAAATACCTACTAAGTATAATGAAAAAATAGTAAGCTCTACATCTCCTGCATGTGCTAGTTAAGTGAAATGAATTTATAAGCATAAAAGTATTTGAACAATTTGATTTTAAAAACCCATTTTCATAAAGCTATATTTCTTAATGTTACATTATTCATAATTATATATGATTTTTTAATGAAACCCTTATGTACAAATGTCAGCGTCGACCAAGAGGAAAGATGACACACTCTTATTTGGATAATTCAACTGGACTTCATCTTTTGTTTTGTTTTGTTTTGTTTTTGGTACCGGGGATCGAACTTGGGTCCTCATGGTTGCCAGGCAGGTGGTGGAACCACTGAGTTAAATCCCCAGCCTGGACTTCATCTTTAAATAGCGAAATATAGCTGAGACATGAAGGTTAGTACAGGAAATTAGGGTAGGCATCGCATGGAAAGTTATCACTCACTATAGTGTTAGAATAAAAGGAAAGAAACGAACCTCACAGGTCCTCCTCTGGTATTCAGATCCGTATGCGTTCATTTTCTCTTGAGTATGGGCTGCACTTTGTAAGTCACTTCTAATGAGTGAATAATGAAAAAAAAATGATGACATCCTATATCAAAGATTATTTTTAATTTGCCTGTGGTCCTTATTCTGGTTCTCTCCCTCACTACTGCTGTCTGCTGTAATTTGAACTTGGAGAACTCAGGTACCATGTTATGAGAAGCCCATGGAGGCATCCACATGGCCCTTTTGGTGAGACCCGAGGCACTCCATCTTACAGCTTTCATGGGACTGAAGCCTGCCAATAACCATCTTGAAAAGACGTCTCAACTCTGGTGAGTCTTGACTAGGGAAGCCCTGGCCAACAGCTTGACCACAATCTCATGAAAGACCCCGAGACAAAGACATCGAAGAAAACCAACACTGGATTCCTGACTCACAGAAATTGTGAGTTTATACATGTTTATTAATAAATGTTATTGATAAACATTTGTGCCAGACATTAACTGATATGATTCATTAGACAGAGATAGATAAATGATATCTAAAGAAATATACTAATACTACCAAAATCTCAACTTGGGGAGGACAGTGACTAACTGTTGAGGGACAGAACCAAGCCCACACAGAGAAGAGATCAGTGACACAAATACCTGCACCTCACTCTCCTTCTGCTGATATCCTAGTGGCAGAGACCAGAGTTCAGAACAGGTCAAAACTGGTGAACTGAATAAAAGATGCATGACATAGTATTATGATGTATAAGTTACTTTGTGTTAACTTATCTGTGGTGCTTATCATCAAGTCATGAGGCACGGTTGTATGTATAAAAATAATACACTTTTTTCTTTTTTTTTGCTTCATTGGTAGCAATAAATATTAAATTGTTTAAATGATTGGTTGTTAAATAGCATTGCTAAAATATTATACTTACCTTGATTTTATATATATTGATATATATTTTGTTTTTTAAATTTCTCTTGTTATCCCAGTTTCATGCGTTTAGGGTACAGTCTTCATTGAAATTAGTCTAACTGCAGTTTCTCCAGACTTCATTTAAGCCGGTTGTGTTTTAGTTTCTAAAGATCACTGGACTATAATTTTGCTTTTATTACTGTCATCATCAAGCTTTAGGTTCAGTGCTATCTTTTAAAACATTTCATTCTTCCCTCTATTTGGGAACACATAAAGGGTAAAAAGAGCAACTTCTAGGAAGTTTGAGATAATTTTATATTTACCTATAAATCCTTATATTAACATTTTTAGTAGTTGATCATTTCTATTAGAATTTTTCTGAATAATTTTTTCTATATCTTGATGTCTTATTTCAGTTTGACAGTTTATACTTAGCTAAGAATTATTCATTTCAGTTAATACTGCAGTTTATCAAAAGAATTGCCAAAATAGACTAACATGGATTTCCATGGTTGCTTTTTATTTACAAATGCTTTATTTGATATAATATTTACAATTTTATTGTGCAAGTGATGAATTATCTTAATGCTTTCTAAATAAACAATTAGACCTTTTTCAGTTCTACTCTTTCCTTACTTTGTAATCTAGTTAGTTCACCTTTATTTATAATTCCTATCTATATTACTTCAAGGTGTTAAAAATTCCAGCACTAAATGTTACTTTAGTTAGCTTTATTTTATTCTTTAGAGAAATGTTTATTCTATTACTTCTAAATATTTCTAAACTTGATTAAAAATACATAAAATTTAACACTATACATGAATATTTATAGATTTTAAGCAATGGGGAAAATGTGATAGCTAGCAATTCTCAAGCTTGGGTAATAATCTTTTTAATTAAGGGGTAAACAATTTAGAAATAAAAATCATTTTATAAAGACAGGAGAATTAAAACAGGCAGGAAAATAAAATGCATTACATATGGTAGTGGTCAATGCTTACTACAGTCAGATGAAGAAGAGTGCAAATGTCTGTCTGCGTGCTAGAGACCAGAAGGATGCATTCCAGGGCTTGGAGTCCAGGGCAATGTCCTGTCCAGTCCATAGCAGGGATCTGCACTGGGAAGGCCCAAGGGCCAGTGGTGGAAGTCAGAAATTCTGCACCACTGGGATGAAAGACCTGGCCTGGAAGGCTGAGTGCTCTGCACTGGAAACCAAGAGATGACGTCCAAGATAAGACGAGGATTGAGGCTCCTCTGAAGGAAGACTGCAGCCAAAGCTCCCTTAAAGAAAAAACTGTCACGAAGCAACTTCTTCCAGAATATCGGCAGCATACAATTGTCCCTTCCTGTTCTCCTTTTATACCATTCTGGCAACAATCCTCAGAAGGGTCTTCCATGCCTGGAGCCACACTGACTCAGGTCGGCTGTGAATTCTCACTCAAGTTGACTATTAACTAATCCACCAGAAAACCATAAATAATATTTAATGAAATATTTATTTCATATATATTATGTGTTATATGAGTGTGTATATATTTTTGGATTCTAAAGCTATGATTCATTTTTTTACTACTTGCAACCATCAAAAAACTAATTTTGAAAAACACAAGTACAGAGAGCTTGCCTCCAATTATGGAAAAGTTGAGACTCAGCAAAGTAGTACACATTGAGTAAGCTTACATGAAGTGAAGGTGACATATCTGAAGAACTGATCTTTCTACTTTATAGCAATATAAATGAACAGTAACTATCGATTACTTCATTAATTTAAAAGAGCAGGGGAATATTTACGGTGATTTTCTTTTATATGAATGCTCAAATGTTTCTCTTTTTTATTTATACATGTTTGCAATATATAATAAATATATTCATTGCGGAAGATTGGTACATGTACACAGGCAACTCTTGATTTTTTTTCCATTGAATTTATTGGTACATTTTAGGTATACAGCATGGTTACATTCATCACTGGGATCTTGTACCTTTACATGACAGGTCTTGGTTCTCATATTTTCCCCATACCCCTTCCCTCCCTTTACTCCCTCCATCCTTCCCTATTTACAATGACTTTGCTTCCACTTTTTTCCTTTTCTCTTATTTTTTCTTTTCCCTTTCCCCCCTTTCCCCTACCCATCCCACATTCCCTACAGTTTTAGCCCTTTGCTTCCTATTTCACATTGTCAGTTATACAATTTTGATCTTATTTACACCCTTAATTTTTCACACCAGAGAAACTATTCGGTATTTACACATGTATGACTTACTTATTTCATTTAAGAGTATGGCCTCAATATGCATCCATTTTCCTATGAATGACTCTAGTTTTTCAGTCTTTATGGCTGAGCAGTATTCTGTTTTATAGAAAAACCACATCTTCTTTATCCAGTCTCCAAGTGATGGGCAATTGGGCTGTTTCCAAGTTTTAGTTATCTCATACTGTGCCACTATACACATGGGTGTGCATATATCACTGTAGTATACTTTTTTTAATTATTTGGAAAGGTACCCAGCTATCCTTCTGCTGGACATCTTTCTCTTAATCCTCTTTGTTTCCCTTTCCCCTCCCCTCCTTCCCATCTACGCTCATGCCCTTCCATTTTTAAAAGTTGGCTTGTGAAAAGCATAAGTTAAACAAGGTATGCCCATTTCATGAGTCTGTGTTTCTTAGGACTCTTTTAGGATACAGATACTCATTCTTTTTTGGTTAAAATTCAGTTTTTCCTTTCATTAAAGAAACTATGTCACCTTTCCATGTAAATTATCTCATATCTCGTATTTTCCTGATTACACCCCATAATATTACTTAGCATTCCTCTTCTACTGCATCTTCAATAATAGCTAAATCTAGAGATGTTGGATGTTTGGAGGAATCATAATTTATAGGGAATATTATATATTTGCAAATACAAAATATAATGCATATTTGTAATTCTGTGAAATTTGTGGTAGGTGCAGTTTCACATAATGAACTAGGCAGTCATCAGTGATTGTTGAACTGACTCATTATATCATTAGAATTTTCAAAATACAGAGATTTTATTTTTCCTTTTGCATCTCTTAGTGAAAATTTTACTATATATAGCAGTAGAGGTAGTATAGATACAGTATATATAGTAATAAATGTAGCATAATGTTGCCTCATCAATTTTTTTCCACTCTAAGATATTATACAGTGTACAGCATGAAAGCGTGGTTATTTTCTTTTATACATTCCTGGTACAAATATGCAGTTAGTTTCATGGCATCCTGCAAACTGACATATAATTTGTTCTTTTAAATGCGTCATATTATAAACTCTTGTGCTTTTGTGTTTCAATCCACTTTTCCACGCATTATCCTCCGCCTTGTTGGCATATATTTCTAGAATGTCTGTATCAAGATACATTATTTTCTTTCTTATATTTTATATGACAAATGACTGCAGTCCTTTTTAAAGTTTCTGTTAATTAAGAGGGAATTTACTTGCACTTTCAGAAAGAGGTACATGTACAATTTCTTGGAGTAAGCAAGTATAGCATTTTCACTTCCACAGTGGGAAGCTTTCTCTTTGTTATCAAGAAGTGTTTTGTTTTAGTGGTTTCTCAATAGAGAGAACAGCCTGCTTCACTTCTGTCCTTCACTTAAACTTTTTCTTTCCTCTGTCTTAGATTCTGAGTCATGTTCAATTTGCATTCTATCAACTTTTAAATTTTATCAGTCTATCTTTGCAGTACATGGTGTTTGCATTCATTTGAGGGTATAGGTTCATATGTACGTCACAGATCTTGATTCTTTTCATGCCCTATTCCCCTTTGCCTCCCCTCCTCTCTCTCTTTCTCTATCTCCTTTCCCCATTTTCACCATAAGTGCTATTTTTTGTAGCTCATATTTTCGACACATAACAATTGCATTCACTATGGCTGCTAAAAACATGAACGTGACACTTCTTAGATCTTTTCACACTCCCTCTTTTACATTCTCCTCTCTTCTTCCCATACCCTCATTCTCTTGGTTCCCTTCTATTAGCAAAATATCTAACTCTTTTTTATCTTGCTCTTTATTTGTTCTTTTATTACTCAAATGAAAGAAAACTTATGGCATTTAAACTTACATGTCTGATTCATTTCACTTAGTGTGCTTCCAAGATGGATCCATTTTCCTACAAGTATCTCAAATTTATATTCTTCTAAAATTGATTAATATTGTATCATGTATAACAGCACATTTCCTTTATCTGTCCATCTTTTTTTTCTCATTGAGTTTATTGGTAAATTTTAAGTATACAGTACAGTTACATTTATCATTGGGATCTTGTACCTTTACATGACAGATCTTGGTCCTTATTTTTTTTCCTTTTCCCTCGCCCTCCCTTCACCACCTCCTCCCTTTCCTATTTACAAATATTTTATTTCCATTTTTTCACTTTCTCATATTTTTCCCTTATTTCCTTTTCCTACCCTTCCCACTTCCCTTACATCTTTACTCCTTTTCTTCCTATTTCACATTGTCATTTATCTCATTAGGATCTTATATACAATTATAGTTTTTCACACCAGAGAAACTTTTTGGTATTTATACATGTATGATTTATTTATTTCAATTATGAGCATATCCTCAATATGCATCCATTTTCCTAAGAATGACTCTAATTTATCATTCTTTATGGCCGCGTAGTATTGCATTTTATAGAAAAACCACATCTTCTTTATCCAGTCTCCAACTGATAGGCAAATGGGCTGTTTCCAAGTTTTAGCTATTACAAACTGTGCTGCCATAAACATGGGTGTTCATATATCACTGTGATATGATTCTTTTGGAAAGATACCCAGCAG